TATAATAGGATCTATATATTACTTATTTAGGATATGAAAAACGAATATTCGATATTATGTGAGTAAAAATCTGTAAAAGATATACAATAATTTAATTAACATATAAATGAGGTAAAATAATATGAGTACCTTTCTGATTATTTACTTGTCACCTACATGAACATTTTATTGCTTTCTAAGTTACTTCTACATTACTTATTTTTATAATCATTCATATCCTAACAAACAGGAAATAATACAAAGTATGGTAGCAAATTTCAAGGTTTGAAACTAGCGCCACTTATGTAATCAGACTAATCGCCATATTAGAGAGACAATTTTCAGTCATAACGATTCCACTCTTAAAAAATTGTTTCATTATGTTTCGTTGAATTTTCTTATTTTTTGGTAGCCACTCTTGCTCTCTTGTAAGTTTGACTGCTGCACGGAAAGGAGGTCACCTTGGAGTGTCATTCAAATTTTAGCGGGGTTTGGTGTTCCATCGTGTTTCGACGTTTTTAACAGTTTTTACCATTTCTAAGTGAATATCTTGTTGAAGAAGTAAAGATGGGTGGAAAGTGGTCTAGCATGGATCCTTCTCAAGTCGAAGTACCGGAATTGCAGGCAATGTTAGAAAGAGATCCATACTTAAAGCCCTATGAACACGAGTTCCGTAAAAGGTATTTTATTCTTTATATAAAAACAGTTTTAGGGTATGTTTAATGATATTACAATTCTTAACTTGCACTTCTTTGCCTTATAATTACCCCAAACTGTTTCACGTTTTCTTGCTTTTTGCGATTGTTTGTTGTTTATTAACACAATAAACCAAAACTAATTGTCATGAGTTGTGAAAGCATGGTAATCAAATATTAGTTTTATTTTATATTTCAATTGAATGTTTTATTTATTAGATATGCATTGTTCAAAGATTATATTGAAAAAGTAGAGGCTGGTGATGGCACTTTAGATAAATTTACGAAAGGATATGAAAAATTTGGAATCCATGTAAACAAAGATAACAGTGTAAATGTACGAGAATGGGTACCTGGAGCACAGGAATTATTTCTAACAGGAGATTTTAGTAAGCGATCTAAAATTACGTATTACATATAGATGAAAAGTTCAATCTTTACTTTAGCATGGAATAAGATTTTTATGCTGCTACTATTGAATTACGTTAAATAATATATTAATTAAGTAATGTTTCATATTAAAGTATAGTATAAGTAACACTTCAGTATTCTTGATCTATGTAATCTGACCATATATTATTACAAATTCTAAATTTGTTAATGAAATAATATGTGTATAATAGCTGTTCATTATAAGAAAATTCCATAATATATTTATTTTAATGATATATATACATTTTTTTTAACTTCTAGATGGTTGGAATAGGACAAGTAATTCATTTAAGAAATTAGATTATGGGAAATGGGAATTGTATTTACCTCCCCAGGCCGATGGAAGTTGTCCTTTAAAGCATCTTTCAGAAGTAAAACTAATTGTAAAGGATCATAATAATGAATTATTGGAACGGATAAGTCCATGGGCTACATATGTTACCCAGAATAAAGCTGAGAGTTTAATGTATAAACAACGTATATGGTGTCCATCATCAGAAAATGTATGCATGATGCATTTGTATTTATTTATACAGTAGTTGATCTATATTAATTATTGATTAATTAAAACAATTCCCTTTTTTCATACAGGTTTATAAATTTAAACACCCCAAGCCAAAGAAGCATAAGAGTCTTAGAATTTACGAATGTCATGTTGGTATTGGAACTCAGGAACAAAAAATTGGTTCCTACTTAGAATTTGCTAAAAATGTCATTCCTCGTATTGTGAAACAGGGATATAATACAATACAGTTAATGGCTATTATGGAACATGCCTACTATGCCAGTTTTGGTTATCAGGTTTGGCACAAAGTTTTAATATTTATGTTGATTACCAAAATTTATGAAGTACTTTATATGAAATTAATGCATATTTAATCAAACTTATCTAGGTGACCAATTTTTATGCTGCTTCATCTCGTTACGGTACACCAGAAGAATTAAAAGAATTAATAGATGTAGCACATGAACATGGTTTATATGTTTTATTGGATGTAGTGCATTCTCATGCATCCAAAAATACATTAGATGGATTAAATATGTTTGATGGCACTGATAGTTGTTTCTTCCATGCTGGTCATCGTGGACAGCATCCACTTTGGGATAGTAGACTTTTTAATTATGGAGAATATGAAGTACTCAGATTTTTACTCTCGAATTTACGTTGGTATATTGAAGAGTATGGTTTTGATGGATTTAGGTAAGAATTCTTAAAGTTTGTTTTATTACATAATCTACAATTTATATTATATAAAATATATTATATTCATGCAGATTTGATGGTGTGACATCTATGTTATATCATTCAAGAGGATTTGGACAGGGGTTTAGTGGTCATTATGATGAATATTTTGGTCTTAATGTTGATGTTGAAGGATTAGTCTATTTAATGCTTGCAAATGACTTGTTACATAATTTTTATCCGGAAATCACTACAATAGCAGAAGATGTTAGTGGAATGCCTGGAGTTTGCAGGTATTAATACATTAATATATAGTCATACACAGTTATTAAAATTTCTATAAATACGTGTAGAGACGTCTATGCATATAAAGATTACGTTTGTTTAAAATATTTTTACGTTAACAGTGTAATAATTATTTTTCGTTAATATTAAAGGCCAGTCAATGAAGGTGGCTTAGGATTTGATTATCGATTAGCTATGGCTATTCCAGATAAGTGGATTAAACTTTTAAAAGAAGTGAAAGATGAAGATTGGAAAATTAATGATATTTGTTGGACATTAAGTAACCGAAGATGGATGGAGAAAACTGTTGCTTACTCAGAATCTCACGATCAAGCTCTTGTAGGTGACAAGACAATTGCATTTTGGCTCATGGATAAAGAAATGTACACACATATGAGCACAATAAGTCCACCTAGCACAATTATTAGTCGCGGAATTGCTCTTCACAATCTTATTACATTAATCACACATGCAGTGGGAGGAGAAGCTTATTTAAACTTTATGGGTTTGTTTAAAAAAGCAAGTTATTCAGTTTCGATTATTTATCATTTTAATGACTAATTCTGAGAACTATGAACTATTAGGTAATGAGTTTGGACATCCTGAATGGTTGGATTTCCCTCGAGCCGGTAACGGAGATAGTTATCATTATGCTAGACGGCAATGGAATCTAGTAGATGATGAAATTTTAAAATATAAATTTATGAATAATTGGGATCGTGCTATCAATACCCTTGAAGAACAATATGGATGGTTGCATGCTAATCCTGTAAAGTCTAAATATATATTTTTACCGACAAGTATATTTATATTTTTATATATCTCTAACGATATTTTTAATAAAAAATATTAATTTTTGTGCAGGCATATATAAGCTGGAAGCACGAAGATGATAAAGTTATCGTTTTCGATCGTGCTGATCTTACATTTGTTTTCAATTTTCATCCACAAAAATCATTTCCTGATTACACTATTGGAGTAAAGAATCCAGGAACTTATAAAATTCTGTTATGTAGCGATAGTAAAGAATTTGGTGGAGACGATCGTGTCGATACTAGTGTCAAACATTTTACTATGCCAGAAGGATATTCTGCATATTCGAATAGAACGATGGTTTACATTCCTTGTCGCACCGCAATTGTCTATGGTCGAGGTATCTTTGTTATAAATATTAATGTTACCGATAAATGGTTTGAGATAATTATTATTAATGTTGATCTTTTACTTCTAGAAACGTGATCACATATGGGTATAGCCGAAATAAGAACTAATATTAAGTCCTACGTGCAAAGAAAATGAAATTATTTTTTGTACCAAAGTTTAAAACCAAAATCTTTTTTAAAAAATTATACTCGTAGAAAAAGTACAAATTTTCTCGAAACTCAACATAACTCTTTACCACACTATACTTTGACACAAAACTTCACACATATTTATTCAAAATCGTACTATACTCAATACAAATATACTCACTAATCTTCTTATGTTAGAAACTATATTCATTTAAGAATGTTACATATACTTTATTGACAAATTTATATTTTTAGNTTTTAAAAAATTATACTCGTAGAAAAAGTACAAATTTTCTCGAAACTCAACATAACTCTTTACCACACTATACTTTGACACAAAACTTCACACATATTTATTCAAAATCGTACTATACTCAATACAAATATACTCACTAATCTTCTTATGTTAGAAACTATATTCATTTAAGAATGTTACATATACTTTATTGACAAATTTATATTTTTAG